AAATGTAAATATAAAAAATATTCACTCGTAAAAAGATATTTATTTTTTATGTAATTTTTTAAATATTAATTATTATATTAATATATAATATAACTTAAGAAAAAAAATACAATATATTTTTATTGTTATAGTATAATATAAATATAAAAATATTTTTAGTGTTAAATATAGTTATACAAAAAGTAAATTAATATCTTATCATGAAAAACAAATAGTGTATTTTTCTGCTAAAGAATAAATTAAATCTTCTTTTTATGAAAATAAAAAAAATAACATAATTATAATGATAGAAAAACTATTATTATTATTTTTATCTTAAAGCACAAACATCTTATACATACACACAGACCATTTATTTCAACTGTTATTAGATACAAAATTAATTCCTAACTTCAAAATATTGGATAAGTTAATTCAACAATATTCTTTGTTCTCATACAATTTTTTAAAAAAATAATATTGCCAAAAAATATAATATATTCATACAATATATAATTTATACTATATTCATTAAAAAAAAAAATTAATAAAAATATTAGTTTTTATTAGTTTCGTACTAACACAAGAAATACATGTATTAAAAAATACTCCCTCCTTCCCAAAATAGTAGTGTTGTTTACCATTTTTGTCTGTTGCAAAACAATAGTCTCATTTCCATAAATAATCATATCATTATAAAACTACAATTACCTTTTCATTATTATTACACAATTGTTACTATTTTTTACAAATATACTTACAAGGAAAAAAAAAGTCTTTTATCCGTACTTTTTACCCACTACCAATATAATATCAATATTCCTTAAATCTCGTGTCAAATACAACCCAGACTATAGTTTTGGGACTGATGGAGTATAAAATTAACACACTCTATTTACATTAATATTTTATTTAATACAGAGCACCAGTTGAGAGCAGTTGACTCTCAACTTGCTCACTTCGCTGGTCTCGATACCTGGAGGACAAATCTTCTCGTTGAATACATCGGTGTAGCGTTAGTGCGAATCATAACAACTAAGGGCATCACAGACTTGCCTCAAACTTCTGCGGTCTAAAAGGCCATAGTCCTTCAAATATTAGTTTTAGATACATTCAGGCTCGAGATATCTCCAAAATTTTTGATACAATCCAAAAGAACACAAACTAAATGCTGATCTCCTCCGCACATAAGAAACACATCATCCGCAAACGCAAGGTGGATGATCCTATGCTTAACACAGTCTGGGTGAAAGTTCATCTCCCTGGCTTGACTTTGCATCTTTAAAAGCCTCGAAAAATATTTCATGCATATGATAAAGAGATAGGGAGAGATCCCGTCTGACTTGGGGTCGCGGTCGGAGGTGCATGTTTGCAGCAAGCACGCCACGGGTCGTTGTTTGTGATGCCTGATGAGACGACGGCTCCGTGCGTGGCGAAAAGGGTCGAGGGATTCAGAATCCAACCACCATTGGCCGCAACGTGATAAATATTTGGATATGCGTCTGATGGACATCGTAATTGTCCATTTATATAGCTCATTGATAGTGATATCTATATGAGAATCCCTAAATAATTCAGTATGCATGAAACATACAAATCAAAATCAAAAGAATATTGTTTTATTAAATTACAAAAAAAGTTTGTATAGGCTCAAACAATTTAGTCATATGTGGTATAATCGTCTCGATGAATCATTATTCAAAGAGGGATACGCCAATAGTTCTGTTTGGTCATGTGTTTTTATAAAGAAAATAATAAAAAAACAACTCACTTTCCTAATCGCTGTTTACGTGGACAATTTGAATTTAATTGGAACATCCGAAGAGGTTCAAAAAGTTATTGAATATTTGAAAGGGAGTTTAAAGTTAAGAATTTTGGGAAAATAAAATTATGTCTTGGTCTACAAATTATATTATCCTACTAATAATTTAACGCACACGAGGGATGTCTCACCGCTTGATCTACAAGGGTTTGACTACAAACCCAGTAGTTGACAGTTTTGTATCAATACAAAACATACTTCATTGCACAAAAATATATAATATAACACCCAATATTATAGCAACCGAAAAATTCACAGATTCACCCCAAAATGTACACAATTTTCACACCCGACAGGAAGGTAAAAACACATGTTTTTGCATCCATTACTCACATTATGTCCGAACCGTGTGACATCACCAAAATAAATATGAAAATATTATTTCAACTCCGTCCTAATTCCATTATAAAATCAATAATAAATACCCCATTATTTGACAAAAATTCTCATTCCAATATTACATAGAGCAACATCAACACACCAATTCCCACATTAACTACAGAACAACAACATAAATATTCCCAACACAAATCCAGATAACAACATCAATTAAAACAGTCATGTCCAAAAAATTTCTTACGCATTTGAAATTGAATCAGATAGTTCAATTTATACTCCTTTAGCGCAATGAAAGTGGAGAGCCATCGAAAAAAAAAATAACAGAAGTTGTCACGTTGTTCAATTGCTCGTTTTGGACTATTTCCCAACATTGGAAATTTGCAAAACAATAATTACAAAAAAGTGAAACAATTAGTATTAGTAGAAAAAAAAGTGTAAGAAAATATAAAATAATTCCCAACATGAATGCAATAGAAGCCTTATCACTAATGCAAAGATCTTCGATCATAAATTTATCATTAATGCCCAACCACAATTTTCTTTAATTAGTGTTGCATTTAAATCATTTATTAGTGGTTAATTACATGCATATTATCCCAACAATAGCAAAGAAATGACCAACAAAATTTTACCAAAAATATATACATCCAAGAGGACAACACCAAACCACATATAGAATGAGATGATTCGGACTTTGTACAGGCAACAAATGGCCACAGTTTCAACATTAAACTCATTCAACAATCACCAAATTCACCTGACATGAATGTGAATGACCTAGGTTGTTTTTGAGCAATACAAAGCTTACAAACTAAGAAATCATACAAGATGGTGAATAGTCCTACTAGTTGTTATTTTAAATTTCAACGAGTTAATACCTCAATATTTAAACAAGATATTTTGAAGTTTGGAATATTGCATTATTGAAGTGATGAAACAAGAATGACAACTCATATGAGCTTCCACATATGAGGAAAGATAGTTTATTGACAGAGGAAAATCTTCTAAATGACGTAAGTATTCCAATGGAGTTAGTACATGAATGCATTCGCTATGTAATTTTAAAAGGTGAGGTGAATGGTATTGAGCGGATATGAGTGATCTAGGTTATTAGTACTATAAAATGATATAAGAAAGTCTTTTATGTAAGTTTTTATGCTTGTGTAAATCTGTAAGAATACTTAGTAACAGGTTTATAGTGTAAAAATTTTGATGAAATGCATTTTACCGAAAACGAAATGCTTGTTTTCAAACTGTTAACTCAAATTCATAAATTAGAACTTGATTTGTTGAGTGAAAAGAATTTCAATGTAAGTATTTGTAATCGTGAATGCCATTTTGAAGCCAATACTAACAGATCAAAATTTTTTAGGTGATACAGAATGAGAGATCACCCTAAGTTAGATGAAAATAAATTATGGTGCACAATAGACCATTTTCAACCAACTAAATCAATAACATCCATCAAAACGTGATATAAATGCATTTTCAAGCCATAGCTATTAAATACGACATAAATTGCAATATAATAATTAGTTACCCGACATAACAATAAATGAAATGTGAGTAAAAATTTGTTTAGATCTCACAAACGTGCACAATATAGACGTATTTGTCGAGACAACCAAAATTAGGAAGAGGTATGCTCAGAATCGCGATCGTCGTAGAGTCAGGGTAATACCAAAATTCGAACCAGTATCACCAATTTTTTGGACAGATCCAGTGCCACCACCAAATGATCGAGCCTTTTCCTGCGATGGTTAATGCCGGAGAGAGGTGCGACATCAATATCTAACCCTAAACTGAACGAGGATTTACTGTCTAGTACACAAAACGAGAAAACCTCACTCGCACCAACCTCCTCCCCATTCGACGGAAAACATCGTCATCGGAAGTTAAGTCGACAGGGAAGAGCTCGTCGGACAATTTAGAGATTTCATCAAGGGAATAGTCATAGGTCTGGCAATGAGGAGAAGATTCTGACTTAGGGTAGGGGTGCCGTGAGCTCGGGGGAGGAAGCATCGACGATCGGTGAAATACAATATAAAGTGACCAATTCTGGGAAGAACCAAAGTTCCAAATTAAGACGCTTTAACATTTTTTCAAAAGACAACTAATCGATCTGGGACTAAAGAGCAGAATAAAGGAATATGCAAAGACGAATTATTCATATTTCATTTGATGGTCAGAGATTTTTCATTTCATCAAAGTGCGTAAAACATTTTAAATCTACAATATTTTTATTACTTGACCAATTACAAGGAGAAGCAAATGCCACTATTCTTTAACAACTTAGAGCCGAAATTTTTTTTCACACTATTATGAATATGAAAATAATACATTGTTCAGAGATAACCGGAGCACGGATCGAGGAAGAAAGTAAGAGTGTAGGTTCGGATTTGCTCGAACAAGAGAGAGAAAATGAATTGAAAAGATAGGGTGAGGGGGTGGTTACGTATATATTTAGACTAAAGTAATTTTATATTAAAAAAATTTAAATACATTTAAAATATATAATTATTTATCAAATAAAAATAAGTGAGTACGTAAGCATATTCAAACGTCAACGTAAATAAAATATATAGACTGAGTAAGTATTATATAACAAACTAACTAAAAAAAAAGAAAAAGAAAAAAACGTTAATCAAGGTAACGGACATATCAATTGATTAAGAAAAGGAAAGTAGTATAATAATTCGTTTGATATGGGCCGGCGGGCGTTAATCGATAGAATGATTATCTGAAAGCAGCAGAGACCAGTTGGTGTGATGTGCGGGTGAGCCGAGCCAGCGGGTGAGCCGAGCCAGCCACCAGCCCCCCGCCCCGTGTAAGTATTCTTTCTCCACCTACTTCCTTCCTCCCTATAAACCAACTCACTCCGTCGGTCGGATCGAGATAGATAGAGATAGATACAGACATCACGCGACCTCTCTCTCTCTGTCTCAATTCATAATTCTTAACTTGAGGTGCTGCCGCTGCTTGGGGTGTCGGTCTTTCTTTAATTCTTTCCTTCTTCTTCTGCTGCTCGCTTCTTCCATTTTCTCTTCCCATCTTATTCGTGCATCTTTTTTCTCTATCCTCTACCCTCTCCTCTCTCCTACTTTGAGGTGTTTCTTTCTCAAATAAACAGACACAGATTTTATTTTTGTGCCCCTAGAGAAAACAAGAAAATGATTGCCGCCACGCAACTCACTGTTGCTCCTTACACCCGCCGGACTACCCAATTGCTTTCTCCCTCACCAAATTCGTCAGGGTTTCCCTGTTTCCTTGCAAGCCCGCCAAACTCCCACGCCCGCGCCCGTTGTAATGCCACTCTTACTCTGCCCTTGGATGGGAAAACCCGCTTCCTGCCGTGTCATCCTATGCTTCGTCCAAGGAAGCATATTTTTCCTTATTTTACTGTCAATTGTCACCTAAGTTCTGACTGCAGCTTGCAATCCAATCAACTGGAAGACACTGAAGATCGTAATCTCAAGTATGGAATTTATACACCGAACCTACTCTTGTGCATTTCGTATGTTAAATGAGTTTGTGTCCCGTCCCTGACTGCAACTATATTTGTGTCGCTGTGTTTTTTATTACAGCACCCCTCGTGTCTGCTATCTTATTCCTATTGTCTGTGATGTGTGTACTGTTTGCCTTAATTTTACCCACATGGAATGTGTCTCTGAAGCTAAAACTATTGAATCGACGTGGAAAAGAAATATATAAAAGAACCGCTTTTATTCTGATCTGCTGCAGTCTCTACTTGTTTTCTGGAATAAAAAAGATGTATTCAAGCATATTGACACCTATTGATGTTTGATCATCTGGTATCACGTTGTTACTTTGAGAACTTTTTTTTTTTTTTTTGGGGGGGGGGGGGGGGGGGGGGGGAGAATTTGGGTTGGGCGTCTCATTGGTGATTTGTTGTTCTTTTGTGCGGAAAAAAAAAAAAAAAAGAAAAGAAAAGAAAAGAAAAGTAAAGAATATGTGTTATTAAGTAATGTACATTGTGCTTATTGAGGTAGGCAAGGGTTGAGCCTTGGGAATATTTGATCAGCAAATGCAAATATTTTTTTCCCTGCAAATTGAGAGAATCTGATGAAGATGCTGAATTGTAAATTATGTTTATAGAGATGATTCTGTCATTCATTCATATACAGAATCCATAAGACAGTTCTTTATGTAGTGAGGTGGCATATGGTAATTGAATACTCTACTCAATCATTTACCTTGATTTTCAGGGATTTCAATGGTGCTATTTCTTCACATATCAATAAAATCGATGAAACGCTTGGGGTAGCACCTACCAGTACTTCTCAACCAAAAGATGTGAAGCATGAACTCCTTATGCTGGCTTTGCCTGCAATTGGTGGTCAGGCTATTGAACCAATGGTGCAATTGATGGAGACTGCATTTATTGGTCGCTTGGGTACCACACTAACACCGAGATTATTTTTTTTATACTAATGCTTTATGTCATATTAATTTTAGCATCCTTCAAGTTATCTTATGATAGCTTTTCCAAGCTACTTCATATAATTTCAAGTGTTGAGTTTCTGAAATAATTCAATGAAGCACATAAACCCATTGTTTGTTTGGTAAAAAAATCATGATTGTGTATTCAATGATCAGTATGGAATCTTTCTGTTTCTTGTGTGCAATATATCATCACAGAATTATTCTATTGTCATCCTTTCTTCCTATTGCCTAGACATATTGAGCACTCTAATTCAGCTTCCAATATAATTGTTTTATCATCTTCATTGATATTTGTTTTCCTGCAAGGATTTCCTTAAAATTTGTCCTTTCTTCCTCCAGATTCAATAGCTAGCCATGAACGTGATGCAAGACCTCCTCCTAAGTAGTTAATCTATTTCTGTACCACTTTACAACTAGTATGTTTCTTATTTCAGGTTCTATGGAGTTGGCTTTGGCTGGTGTCTCCATATCGCTATTTAACATAGTCTCCAAACTTTTCAATATTCCTCTCCTGAGCGTTGCTACTTCCTTTGTGGCTGAAGACATCTCCAAGAACTCCCGCAGATTTTCCACATCAGGTATGTTTTATAGTCTCAATGTTGAAATGTGTGGTTTTCTGTTTGTGTATATCTCTTTTCTCCACACGCATAATTGTGGATATATATATTGAAGTTAACAATGTTTCAATTGTATTGATACAACAGAAAAGATGCAGCTATCTTCAGTATCCTCAGCTTTGTTATTAGCTGTTGGCATTGGCATCTTTGAAGCTTTGGCTTTGTCTCTTGGATCTGGACCTCTGCTTGGTTTGATGGGCATATCACCAGTATGCATTTAGATGGCATGAAAATAAAGAATCTCTTTCTTCCTTGATACTGATTTGGTTTGCTTCCATTGTTGTTTACTGCCTCATTTCATCTACCATCATCCATCCTCGGTAGCTTAATTTGAAACTAACATACAAGTTCCTTTATTTTTTGTGATAAATAAATTACATAATCCAGTCATTAGTTTGGATATTGTCCATCTATAATCTCCATTGACTTTGCATGTTGAAGGAAGAGCACTATTGAACACATCTGTGAAGCAGCAAGTTTTGCTCAAAGCTTCGTGGATTATGTCTTCAGATGACTGATTAATTATATATATATATATATATATATTGTAAATAAACATTCAATCAACTGTTTTTCATATTTTCCAAATAAAACACTTCAAACCATATTGGACCTGTATTAGTATGTGTGCTTGTTGTTGTTTTAATGACTGTATGAGAATAGCCCTTCCATTGTATTATATAAATAAAGTCTATACCTGGTGCAGGTCTCCTCCATGCATGCTCCTGCCCAAAGGTTTCTTATTCTGAGGGCTCTTGGTGCTCCTGCTTTTGTTCTTTCTTTGGGACTGCAAGGCATTTTCCGTGGTTTCAAGGATACCAAGACCCCTGTATTTTGTTTAGGTTAAATTTCTTCTCCAGGTTTGAATTGTAGAATTTGCATCTTTGTAGTATAGACTCTTCTGTAGTTTAACATCCCTAAGCTATTTCTCTATGCAAACAAAATTGGCTTTTCAGTCATTGTTGTTTCTGTGTCATACATGATTACTTTGCAAGGAATATTGTTGATACTATGATTCACCTATAGATGATCCTCCCCCCTTGTGTTTTTTACCTCATCATTATTGAGAGAGCATGTGCGTAATGTTTCTTATATCAAGACTTGGAATGTCTTGAGCTGTAAATAGTTTACATGCACCCTCACCCTACCAATGTATTTCCTTTTATGGAGGCTTATGTATGTTCTGTTTTTTTAAGTATATCTCATCTATTTTGGTTGGTACATATGATAGATATCTATAATATGGGATACCTGAGGCTAAATTGATGGTTTTTTGCATAGCAAAACTAGTCATTGCTATTTAGTATGTGCAACACTGACTAAAGCCTTTTTTATGAAATTCAAATAGTTACAAGTCTTGTAGTAGTATTTAAGACTTCATAAATTCATGTTATCATTTTTCTTCTGCTAATTTGTGTTTGTACATGGTTATGCCTATCTATTTATATATTTCCATAAATATTGATTCAAATCTTTGCCTGCAGGTTTAGGAAACTTTACTGCTATATTTCTTTTTCCCCTTTTCATGCATTACTGCAAGTTGGGAGTATACGGGGCTGCTATTTCAACTGTTGTCTCTCAGTATGTATTAATGCCCATTTTCTGCCTCGTCATTTAGCTTAGGTCATAAGTTCGATCATGTGGTGTGTCACTTACACGTTTCTTCAAATGATGCTTATCAGATACATTGTCGCCTTTTCAATGATTTGGCAACTGAGTAAGAGAACTGTATTATTGCCTCCAAAACTTGGAGAATTGGAGTTCGGCAATTACTTTAAATCAGGTTAGCATGTCAATCATGATAAATGCTACAGTATTTTATTGTTTTGTTTTCTCATAAACCTGTTCTTGGACTGAAAAGCTTCTTTTTTTAAAAAAAAAAAAAAAAAAAAAAGTTGAGCCTTCTGATTACTTCCCAAGGCTATGGAAATGTGATTCAGCCATTTCAGAGCTTGGTTACTAATATTGGTTTTTCAAGAATATTACTCAAATTTAACAATATAGTGCACTAAAACCTTAAAAACAAATAGCTATTGCAAAGTTTGAACTGTACATATATATCCACTCCCATCACATATTTTATTCAGGGTTGCTGTAGTTGCTTAATAAATAAAATTTCCACTTGCCACTTGACGAGTTTGTGTGATGAAAAGAACCATTGAGTCGTTTTTTTTTTTTTTTGACAGCCTTCACCTGTGTTCTTACATCAATATTGAGAATGTCGATCTCATCAACCTACTGATAACTCCATGGCAGAGTTCTTCAATGTACTAAATTTATGATAATTAGAACATGTACTTGAGTTCATTATTAATAACGCTGCGAATTGGATGCTGTATTCACTTTCCAAGCAATACAAGATCCTCTCTAGTTGGTTTAACATTTAAAATCAAGCTAACTTTGGCCAGTCATATCAAGAGTGTCTTACTTTTTGAAAATAAGGAGATTTTATTAGTGTCAAAAAGTTAGCTACAAAGGTATATGGTGAAAAAAAAACACTGCATCTAAACCTTGACCAAGAGAACTGAGACATTCAAACTTGTTAAAAAGATGATAGGTGGGCATCTAGAGAGTGAAAAATATTGTATTGTAATGCAGTATCTCTTTTACTTTGGGAGAGGGAAGTATCAAGTGTGTATAATTAGGGGTGGTACGGTATGGTATACCGGAAATTTTACGCTATATTGTATGTCATCGTAAATTCCGGTATGAGAAAATATCATACTAACACTATACCTAATCATTTTTATTTTTTTTCATACCTAATCATTCGATATACCGACTTATGGTATACCGAGAATTATGGTATAAAAAATTTCATGCCAATTTTTGGCATATCTTATTGATTTTTCGATATGCAGGCATACTGCATACCATACTGAAATTAACGATATATCGCAAATGACCGATATATAAAAAAAACAAAAAATAATTAAAAGTTATCATAATTAAAGATAATATAAATATATGAATACTTTTTATTTACTTTTATTCAAGGTTGATATTTTATTATTTTATTTTATTTGTATTCTAGTAATACCGTAGGATTTGTTTCTTTTGACCAAAATCTCAGGTTTCTACTATTTGAATTCTGCATTTTTTCGAAAAAAAAAATATTCCAAAACATTCTATCATATATTATTTTAATATTAAATCCAAACTAAAATTTTTTCAAACCTATCAAAAGAAACATACCCTTAATATTTTTATATGTTAAATGTTGTATACATTGGTATCATGATGTATAAGAAACTTTGGTATGGTAATCGTATATTGTGATATGTCAAATTTTATATTGTTATTGTATCGAAAATCTATGGTACGGTATCATATAGTACCATAAATTACAGTATACCAAAAATACGGCATTTTTGGTATTTTTTCAGTTCGATGTGAACGAAATATCGTATTTTCGGTATTTATTTCCACCCCTGTGTATAATGGTACAGTGGTATTATTATTATTTTTTTTCTGGTTTATAAACAGAGAGAAAATGCATGCATATGCTATAATGATTGACTTAAAAGTTAATTTAATCATTAAGAAAATTTTACAGATACTACCTCCTACTGTGCATTTCTTTCAAGTAAATAGGCCAATCTGTTATCAAATGCCCTTTATTCAATGATTAAAGATTTTGTGTTTTGAGAAGTAAAGGACAGTTATTTTTAACTATGGGATTATTAGGTGGTTTTCTTATTGGAAGGACTCTTGCTGCTCTTGTAACTATGACACTGGGTACATCCATGGCTGCTCGTCAGGGACCTCTAGCAATGGCTTCTCATCAGATATGCTTGCAAGTATGGCTTTCTGTGTCTCTCCTTACTGACGCACTTGCTACTTCGGCTCAGGTGATTTGTGACATTCACCCCTTTTTTTCTTCCGCAGTTTCTTATGGCTGTGTTGTTTACCTTCCAAATCAACTACATTGACTCGTTCATACTCTGTCCTAAACAAAGTTGATAAAAGAGCACTTGTTTTTCATGACTGTAATTTATATGATGATTTATTGCATGACTAGCGAACATGATAGATGACATGAGTTGCATCCAGAGAGCATAAATGTAATATTCAACTGCATGCAAGGTTTTTGACACACACACGCACATATCGTTCACCACAAATACATCCTAAAAGATCTGTAGATATGTGACCATGTTTGATGATGCCACCAGCCAACCACATCATATTGTGTTTTTTCTTGAGCTAAAGATTATTTCTTTCTTAGGCCCTGATCGCGAGTTATTTATCAAAGAATGATTACAGAACTGTGAAGAATATCACTGACTTTGTCTTAAAGGTACTTCTACGGTTGATTCCTCGTGCTTAGCAAGTGCCTTGTTTCACAGCCATCTGTTCTGAAGGAGTTTAAGTGTTACCTGTGGACAGATTCTTACTATTGCTTCATGTTCTCCAGATTGGTTTGGTTGCTGGTGCTTCCCTAGGTGTGCTTCTGGGGGTTTCTTTCAGTGCATTGGCTCCATTATTTACAAAAGATCCAGCTGTCCTGGAACTTGTTAGAACTGGAGTTCTGGTAAATGGACCAATAATGATGTTCCTTTATGGTTTCTCTCTAATGCTGTCATTACTGAAATATTATCCTGACTCTTTTGAATGTGTGCAGTTTGTAGGTGCTAGTCAACCTTTAAATGCTTTAGCTTTTATCTTTGACGGTCTTCATTATGGTGTTTCAGACTTCTCTTTTGCTGCAGTTTCAATGGTAGGCTAATTTTCTGTTTTTATATTTGGTTATCATGAAAATGAGATGGCTTTGATATACATGGTTTTCAAAATGTAGATGCTGATTGGGGCATTGTCTTCCGGATTTTTGCTATATGCTCCAACATTTTTTGGTCTATATGGTGTTTGGTTGGGCTTGACTCTCTTTATGGGACTTAGAGTGGTGGCTGGAGTTATCAGGTAAATTGATTAATCGAGTCTCTTTTTGGTTCATTGAAGTAGGCCTGCTTTTATTGTTGGATCCATGTTCAAACTAACAAGTGACACTATTACACTGGAGAGCAGCTGGGGCCGCCAGTGTCATCCCCTGGACCAACCACCCATTGTCTACACCGATACTCACTGGTGCCCCAGGCTGGTCGATTTTGGGTTGGCTGTTGACCTGTAGGATTAGGACTGTTCTTGTGAATTGTTATTTTCTTATTAATAGGATTAGAAATTGTGGGTAGCCTGTGTACGACAGCCTATATATTAATTAGTATTATGTTCGGATTGGGCATAACAACCTATATTATATGCCATCCTAAGGTCGAGCATCCTTTGTCTGGTTTTAATTTTAAAACTTCAGCCGTCAAGGCTTGGGACCAGAGAATTCCTGTGGGTTTTATTTCCAACAGGATATTTATCTTTCTTCATAACAAACTCCTCTAAGTTGCCTGATATTTTTAGTATGTACGAGTAGGGGATTATAGAACCAATTCTTTCTGGATGGTATTGATTATTATGCTGTTCAGATAACCCAATGGAAAGTTTTTTTCCTGTCGGGATTAAACATTGCCTGTCTACTGGCTACAGTTTTATGAATATGTCTAGTTTTGAGAAAAGAGAAACCCATTTCTGAATGTCAGTTACTTTCTTGCTTAAGCTGCAACTTACTATTTTATTCTTCTCAGATTATTAGCACCAAGGGGCCCATGGTGGTTTCTGCATGGTGATGTTAAAGATTTGGAGGTTAGTTTCTCAGATTTAGTTAGTTATGCTTTAATTTCATCCCTGTTGGCGCACTTCCCCCTCTTTCACTTGACAGAAGAACTTGTTAAAATGCCTTTTGTGCACTTACCATCAGTTCTAATGAAGAGGCATTTAATTTCAGATCTCTCTCCTAGGGATTGGGAATAGAAAAATGCAAATATCTTTATTTCCCTTCTTTGTTATTCTTTTATTATTTCACTTTTACAATTTATTTTATAATCTTATAAAAATAATATCTAAATTATTGTTACTTCACTAAAACTTTTTATTACCTGACTTCATCGATTTCTCCTTATTCTCCTTATTGATTCATTCTCTTATTTTCTACTTGCAATACATTATTCCCCCTAGATTGAGTAGGATGAATCATTGTATTTTTTTCAATATTTTTCAACCGAATTCTTTTTTTTACATCTGTATTCAATTTTTTTATAAAACAATTCTATGCTATATTAATTTTTCATTTTGTATAAAAACAGCCCTAGTGATTTTTGTCATTTAATCAGTCTTACTGATATACACTAGTGCATTCCTTTTCCGTTGGCAATTTTCTTAATTTCTTATAAGAACATATTATTTCCTCTCACAAAGAATTGCATCCAACCACAGTTTAAACCCAATCGGAAAGCCAACTACAAACCAAACACACCTGAATGTATGCATTTAAATATACTATGCGCTGTCACATTTTAAATTTCTGTTAGCAATTATAACTTATATATTTTTCCTTTCAGCTGGCTGGCTGAGACACTCGGACAACAAGGTCAAGCTTCGGATTTTGACAGCCTCAGTCAAATTTTCATCGTGCCGTAGGCAACAGTAGACACTGCAGATAAGCAGCTCCCTTTTGTTTTTTACTATTTGATTGATTGAGCTGCCAGTAGGAATCAGTTGCCCAGAAATGGCATGTTTACTTAATTTATCGTATATGATCTGGTTCTTGTTCCCTACCACATGTAAATTTACCAAATCCTGCAATTTGGGGGACACATTATCGCCTTAACATTATTCTATGTACTTGAAAATTGAAAAACCTATTGTGCATATTTAATTTAAGCATAGTCCATTGGCCCGTATGGTTGGAACAATTCCTTGAGTAAACCCTTCTTCCGAAGTGGCTTCCACCCCATATCCTTGCATAACTGATCATTGAACCATATTTGAACTGCACCCAGGCATGATCTGTTGCCATGGTGGTGGTGGTATTCACCCAATGATTTCTCCCTGTAGTATTTATCCCATCGCCGGGTGTTTTCCTCCATCTCTTCAATGCTTGGCAGGTTGAATGTGCCGTCAAGAAGCTCTGCCAACCAACGGCACTGCATCTCTGAGGTGAACAGATTTGCGATACTTTCTGAGAATCCAATAAACGCAAGCTGTGGAATCCGAGGATGAATGCATTGTCTGGTAGACGACAGAGACAGACAATGTGTACATTTTAAGCAATCAGTTGGTTTGGAGCAGCATGACGTACTACTTTTTTAAAATAGGCTAACCTGTAGAGCATAAGTGTTGTATCTTTGTCTATTAGGCTCTGGAAAGGTGAAGATATGAATAGAGCTTTCAGCTTGTCGACAAATCTGAACCCAGTAGCAAGTATCAACAGATCGATCTTCAGGGTCTCAGGCTCATCGTTGTTGTCATCAGAATCATCTATCATGACGCCTTCACGGACAAAGCTGAAGTTTTGTGATTTCTTGAGTATGATACTCCCTTCCTCCACCCGGTCGTAGAAACCCTCAGGTACAGTTGCAATGGAGCATGAATTTATTTCCTGCAAGAAGCTATGTTTTGGCACCATGCCGTGTTTTGTGAGCTTGAGCTTCCTTTTGATGTGGCTCTCGACGAATTTTGAAACAGCCCATCTCTGATACAAAACAGCAGCAGCAGAAGCAGCTTCGCATATAAGTGTATGTATGAAACAAGTGTGAGAAAAGGTTGAAAGAGGAGAGCAGACCAGAGGTAAAAAGAATGTCGCGAGGAGGGATAGAAGAAGGCCTTGCGCCGGCTTGTGGAGCAAAAGCTCGGAGAAGCGAGTCTGGTAGAGGTAGGCGAGGGGCAGCCCCCACGGCAAGTGATCGGGCACGTTCCAGTGGGGTGTCCTGTACAGCAGGATGCAAGGCTGCTTCGAGTCGGGGCCTGCGCCAACCAAATTACATTTACATTTACATACAATGTTGATGATGATGATGGTAACTGCAACTGTAATTGTAATGGTAATTGTCGCGACCGTTGGCTGATGAGCACTCCATTGCAATATCCATCCCGGATTTCTGGAGGCCGACCACAGCGACGGACTTCCCCTTGACGAGGTTGGCGGCGGCAGCGTGGTCCATGGCGGAGTATTCCATGGAATGCATCACCTTCCCTTGGAATACCTCAGGTCCTTCTTCTCCCTTAGCCTTGGAGAACTCTGGAATGTTTGGGGAACCACTGTACATCCCGGCGCACACTACCACAAACTCAACTCTGTGAACCTAATAAAAGTTAACTCATTAAGTCATAACACCACCATTTCTTTCTCTTTCTTTGGCAATGGCAAGACCAAAGATACGACAATCTGACACGAATTCGACACAAAATAATTAAATTTAGAAGGATTTTGACTCGATTATATATATATATATATATATGAGTTGACACGAATTCCATACGATAATAAACGGGTCGGATTAGAGTTGAGGCTCTCAATTTAAATCCGACCCGACAACTCTATTATAATATATTAATATTAATCAATATATTTATTATGTATGTAAAATAATTCTAATTTGATAGTTAATTTACGCATTAATTTAAACTAAATTCAATTTTACTAATCTAAGCTGATTCACTATACATATTACAATAGAGCAAACAAAAAAAAATAATAATTGATTTGAATAAAAAATTTTGACTAAATTATGTATACCGGTCAACACGAACTCGACACACGACAATAAACTGGTCAAGAATCCGATATGATAATAAACGAGTCTGAGATGTGATTAAATAATTTAAGCCGTTTAAAAGTATTCAAAGTATTCAATTCGACACGACTCGATCCATGTCAGGTTTAGGCAAGGCATTGCTATCTATGCCCTCTCCAATCCAAACAGACAGACAGGAGGACTGGTAATTAATTACCTCTGTGGACAGGGTTTGTGTGTTCTGCACCGTAATCCTCCATTCTCCTCCATTTCCAAAGGGTTTGCACCAATTCCATTCATCTTCTTCTTCTTGGGAGCCATGGTAGGTGAGGCTGAGGACTCTGGAGTTGAGGTGTACGCGGGGGAGCAAGCCATGGAAGTGTGCGTAGGAGTGGAGATATTGGAGGACTTGTTTCTGGGTGGGGAAGGGGTCGGCGACCGATGGCGGCCATGGGAAGTCGGAGAACTGATAGAGCGATTTGGGGGTCTGGAGCTTGGTGGTTTGGATTGTCTTCCTCCACACTCCTCCAATGTCGCCCTCAGATTCAAAAACAATGGGTGCGAACCCCTTCTGCAACAGGTACTTGCAGGTGAGGAGACCGCTGATTCCAGCTCCAATCACGCCAATCCTCCTCGTCCTGTCTCCGCCTGCCATTTTTAGATCAGGTCAGAGGATGGATGGATGGATGATTGTTGGTTGTTAAGTGGGAATGGAAATGGGATTGGGATGTTGTGAGTCCAACAGAGCAAAGGCAGCCGCACCATAGATCTACCTGCTACACTGCTACTGCTGCGTCGTCTGGAAGAAGAAGATGATGATGAAAGAAGATATTTTTGGTAGAAAATTTACGACTACAATATACTACTTATATAGCTTGCAGCTGCAGGCACGAGGCAGCAGCATTTATTTGAACCTCAACACAAATAATAATAATAATAATAATAATAATAATAATAATAATACCACTATCTGCATTGCATGGCTCCGCTTCCACTACTCCATATTAATATCTAAATTAGCACTCACACATGACACATATTTTGAACTCCTCGGAGACAATTTTAGTATAGGATTTCTTTTACTAAAATCGAAAAGGGATATTTTGGAATGTGACCAACGAAAATAGTAAAAGTGGTAGTGAGTATATATATATATATTGTTAGTTGAATGAATATTACGAGAAAATAAACGTAGCGCGAAATCGAGTCGACGATGAATTTTTTTTTTTAAAATAAAATGATTTTCGTCTTTGATGAGAGTTGCACTTGAAGAGATGATTTTGTTTGGTGTTTTTTAAAATGACGGGGAAGACCCTTTATAATTACGATCATAATTATAACTTTAATTATCGATATAATTTATTTTTAAACTTCCCATTTTAATCAGTCGGTAATTTACTGCATAATTTGATTTATCCCAAACACCTTACCCAATAAATAAATAATTTCATCCAAATTAATCTAAATAATTTAGTTCACCCATTTGTAGCATTGTTACTCCCCCATTAATCGATTGCGATTGCGTAAGAAAATTAAATTTCACAGATTAAATAATCTATTACTTAACAGGGATATATATATATGTTCGATACTACAAAACAATAAAACAAACAAACGAATGTAATAAATTGTCGTCAATCTATCTATCTATCACCCTGTTGATTCTAAAGCAATTCTGATTTGTTCTTATTTATTAGTATATTGCTCTATTCTGTCTTATCCTAAGACCCTTCCAAAATGAACAACGCAAAGCTTGCCTTGTGGTTTATTGTTTGCCGTTGCTTACTAAGAAAAAGAACGACCAAATCAAAACCATTAGAAGAATATGCTAAAGCATCTATCTGTCCATCTATCAATACCCTAAAAGAATGACCGATCACTTGATATTTGCAATGACTGCATCCACAACCTCTTCGGTGGTGCTATCTCCACCGACATCTCCGGCTTGATATTTACCTTGCGCTATCACGCGCTTCACTGCAGCATCCAAACGATCAGCAAATGATGGAAACTGCAGGTGCCTAAGCATCATAGCTGATGAAAGAAGCAATGCCACCGGATTTGCCGTCCTCTGCTCAACTATTTTCTCATTCCCTACATTCCCTGCCGAAGCACCTTGCTCAAAAATGGCGTAATCAAACCCCACGTTTCCTGCACAATACATCATAATCATATCACACGCCATTTATCAAGTACCTCCACATGATATATTGACACAGTGCCCAGCTCTGTTCTTGTCAATTGGTGGTGAAAAATGACCCAAATGAAATTATTGATGCCACTTTTAAACTTTGCAAAAAGAAAAAGAAAGTTCGCACCTCCGGGCATGACACCAGTGCCCCCAGCAATACCAGCAGCAGTGTTTGCAATCAGATTCCCGTAGAGATTGGGTGTTACCTGTAGAATGTAAATTTGAATATTGATGAACTGCAGGGTGATACCAGCCATATATCCAAGAAATCCGTGAAGTGCTGCTGCTTAATCCAGAAACTCAGTTTTCCAGTTAACAAAGCCAATTTAAAACAGGTAAGAAAGTATGACATTCGAGTGGTCCCTATAATCTTTCTCTTTTGACTAGGCAAATGAAGTAAGTACAAGAAGTATATTAACTGATTGAGCACAAAAAGATGTATCAAGACAGTCCCATTAGGTTCAGTAAGTTAGTACGGTTGTGCAACTTAGCTACGGCATCCACACAGGAACACAAAACATGGAATAGAAAAGGAGCATGAGTTAACATAACGACATGTGTCGATCTATCAACAACATATCTGGGAACAAATGTTATCTAACAAAAGTTACTTTAGATGTAAGAGATGTAATTCAAGTCTATAAAACACAATAGACTAACCAATCAATCATGCAATCGGCCATACAAATTTTCATTTTCCATTTGACAAACACCAGGTTTTTCCAATGGTCTAAAAGTGGTGTGTGCCAAAGACCAATCAAGGAGAATTAGAGCTTATTAAAATCAAATGGTTGTCGAGATACTTTTTTTCAAATGCAGATAAAATACAAAGAGTAGCGGTCAATCAACATATCTGGCAACAACTTTTATCGAACAAAAGTTACTCTTGATGTTAGAGATTCAACTCAGGTCTACAAAGCACGATAGATGCCTGCATCATTAACCAATTGATCATTCGCAAACATAAAAAGTGTAGCATTTAATCAGCTTTTTTACATTTTTGAGTGATACAGCACATTGTATGACTTCTCACCTTTTGATCCCTTACATCAAAAGTATGTTGTTTACATTCTGATTTATAAGTTGAATAAAAGAAGCAGAAAGAAAATGGCTAGTCGATTAACAATGGTGAAAACAAGATAGTGCAAGAAAAATGGCAAATTGCAGAGGAATATCTCTTACCATGACATCAAATTGCTCTGGCTTGGAAACAAGTTGCATGGAACAATTATCTACAATCATCTCATTGTATTGGATCCCGGGGTACTTGCTAGCAACTTCACGACAAGATTCTAAAAATAGACCATCAGCAAGTTTCATTATATTTGCTTTGTGCACAGCGGTCACTTTCTTCCGGTTGTTGAGATAAGCATACTCAAAGGCATACTTGGCAATTCTTTCTGAGCAGAACTTTGTAATAACCTATGTATTGGCCAACATGAGAAGCTGAAATACCTGTGGATTCTGAGAGAATCTATAACAAACATGGTACTTGCAAAATAAAAAAGATGAACAGACACTTGAGAAGTTCTCCAAGCAACACTAAGGTAAGTAGAGCTACAAAAATAAGACATTTTACAATGACTGAAAAGAACTCGCACAACGACACACAGAAATGAGCTATCCATTCCAAGAGCGAGTTATTATTGATGATGGCATCACATAATTCTACAAGCAAGGCAGCCATTTCCAATGCTCTTAATATGCATGCTCTCTGTCAACAACGTGCAATATTTATTTATATTTTAAATCCAAAATTTTGCATTGCAGAAAGCACCTGCAACTGTATAAAAAAAAAATGGAAACAGGGAAAGGGCGGGGGCAAAGGAGAAGGAATAAGAAGAGAAGAGAAGATAGGAGAGGAAAGGGATCACACCTTAAGGCTTTCGACGACTCCAGGAACAACCTCGTGCTCCAGGCCGGAGTACTCGCCCTCGGTGTTTTCACGAATCACGACAATATCGACTTTGTCGTGGCGAGTGGGGAGGCCCGGCAGATTGATACAATGGACGAGGGAGGCGTAGAGATCAAGCTCCTTCCGCAACAAGACATTGAGGGAGCTGACGCCTCCGCCAACGGGAGTTCTGAGCCCGCCCTTGAGACAAACCTTGTTCTTCCTGATGGATTCGATGACCTCGGGAGGCACGGTATTCATGTCACCGCGGACCTCGTACTTTTCAAAATAAACTGGGGCGTGCATCGCGTCCATGACTCGCTCAACGGCGCCGGTGACAAGCGGACCGATTCCGTCGCCGGGAATGAGAGTGACGGGGCGTGCAGTGCCATCAACGGGGCGGGGCACGGGCACGTACGTGAGCGATCGGGATCGGGTGGAGGAGAAGAGATGCTTGAGGTTGAGGTTGAGGAGGGGACGCCGGGACATCCTGACCGACCGCCTGAACTGAAGGAATTTTCGATTGATGAATGTTACGTTAGAATTAGATGGGGAAGGATGCAAGGAAGTGGGAGGAAGACGAGAAGGAGTTGTTTCATGGAATGGAAGGGAATAATGATTAATTAATAGTACAAGGAAAAGGCAAGCGGACGAGGCTACAGAAAGAGGAAATCAAACGTATTCATACAATATATAATATTAATTAAAATATTATAGCAAAATTGTCCACAACTTTTTTTTTCTTTTAAATCTCTTATTTACTTTATTAAATCTCTCATACAATACTGCATAAAGACCCACTGTGAGTCATGCAAAACTGGCAAGATTACGAGCAATTTTATTAAATATTAATATTAAAGTATAAGAAGTGGCATGTAATTTAAAATAAATAATATTTTAAGCTAAATTTGAAAATCACAGAGGTACGAGCAATTTTACTAAATATTATTAAATGAAAAAATATATATATTATTAAATGAAACAGCCAAAAAGAAAAAGACACAGAGTTGACCAGAATAAAAACAGCAGCAACTACTACGACTGACTGCAATACACACACTGTTCATCCAAACTCAAGTACAACCAAGCACCTTTATAATTTACCCACTGTTCATGGCCACCCCCAAATATGATAATGATGCCTGCCTTGCACAGTTGCACTCCTTTATATTCTGCAATTTGAAGCTGCACAGCAACAAAATCATAAGAACTTTTTTTGTTTAGTTTATTTCAGTCAAATCAAAGACGAGTAAATGCAGAATAACATAACATAGCAATTGTAAGGCAAGACTAGGGGCCCAATACACACAGGATGAGCTCAAACAATTGTTTCATCAAATGCAATTTGATTCTACCACCTCTTACGTGTAAATGAAATGTAATGTAGGACTCACTAAAAAGGCCATATTGGGGATCTGAATTTTTGTTTCACAACAGCTTTGCAGTTCATACTTCATGCATAGATAGACAAGTGCACTAGTCTATAAACCAAGAGATGAAATTTATCTGCATGTTTACTACTAAATTCAGCCTCAAGAAAACCGTGGAAGCTGAAAAAAGGCAAAGTTCCAGAACTCACTGCAGTAAATAAATTGGTTGAAATCAAGTGTCACCCTCCCTTGCTTGCTTGTGTCAAATGAGTTGAACAAGTTCCTAGAAAAGATAGGGAAATTGTAATAAATATATCAGGAAAATGTGGCAAGAATCACAAGTCAGTAGCATAGATTTTGTATGTCAAGAAACATCGTATAGTAACAGAAGCAATATATAGAACAGAGCCTTGATAATTTATGATAAAACAAGGAACAATGTAAAGCAAAATACATAAGCAAGATGGATTCACGTGGAGCAATTAAGAGGACACAAGCAACTAAGTCAACTAAATGATGCAATCTTTAATAAAACTGTATGTTCTGACAAATAAATGCAGTATCAACAGTGATGCCAAGCTTACTGATATACAGACCTTGCTGACTGTACAAATATGCAAAGAGAGATAAAATCATCAAGCTTGAGTTGGCCACTTCTTGTTTGATCAAAGCTCTATAATAATGAAAATGGAAACAGCAAGCTTCAAATATCTTGTTATGAATGATATAATCTTTAAATTGGATCACACGATGAAAGGGATCACATCTGTTTTTACCTCACAAACGGTATAAAATGCTGGAGAGTCAAGAGAGAACCCAATTTTCAGCAATCCCTGTAGCCATCAATGGATTCGTGCATAATAAGGGGAACATTCACCAAAAAATTAAAAAACACACACACACACTTATAAGTGGCATATTGAGCATCTTGCAATCCTATTCTACAAGGTATGAGTCATTAAAGGTCAAGGTAACATCAAGAACAAAAAATGGAAGAAGGATGAATATCAGATTTGAAGCTTACACCTCATACACTTCATCTGGATTCAGAAATCCACGCCCCCTACTCAAGCATAGAGAAAATACCACTGTTACTATAACATATATGTTATAACATCACAATTGCACACAATATAATGTAGAACCAAATATCAACCTTTATTACTTAATACATGTATGTAACAAGGCTTTTATAAGCATAGATACTTACATATAGAAATAGTACAAAAAAGATGCCACATGAAGCATAAAATTGGATACAGCTAACTACGTGACAGTCAAGATACAAATTATAAGACTGCCACAGTTTGCTAACCCAAGACTGAGTTGAGGAAATTCAGATATTATAATGACCAACAGAATGCAGTACTAGAACAACTGACACCAATCAATTTAAAATTCACAACAATTAAACAGCATAGTGTAACATCCCACCCCGTTCCCATGCCCTCTCGGCAAGTCCGGTGTAACATGTGCTATGCGATCGGACCCAAAGATTAACACAAGTTCTTCCAAGGCAATTTGGCCTCATTCATCTGCGCTGTAGGAAACTTCCCAAAAGGTCATCCATCTTAATATTTCTGTATACTCTAAAGCAAGTACGCTTATCTCTATAATTTTTTCATGTATATTTGTGAAAAGAAGTAAACTAGTCTACTCAACCTCCACACAAATAAAAGCGTATTATCTTCTACACACTTCAAAACACGTCCTCATTGCTCCCCAAGAATCTTCGGCATAATAGGTTGTTTTCTAGTTTATTCAACTATAGCGCGTGGCCAGCTCGAATACTAATTTTGCCACATGCACTTTGGCATGCAACATAGCAGTGCAATGGGGTTGGCATAACACTCAAGTCTTAATACAAACACTGGTGAATTCACTAAGTTTATTTCAATGGGTGCATTCAGTTATTTTTTTTAACCACTTCTTAAAAATGATCAAGAATAACATGTATTACTCTATTGGTTTACGCAAACTCATTCAATAATATAGGCATATTAGATAAACATAGGTAGGTCCTAATGATTTAAGAGGTCTCGCAATGGGTTGGTCTACATCTGTGGACTTATATGCATTAGTGCATAGATGTATATAAATGCATAAAGGTGATGAATTAGTTTGGTATGGGGTACTAAGCAATCAAATACGCAGCGCTATGGAATGGTTTACCATTTACATATATATATATATATAGACCATACACACACATACCGATATGTGAATATATATAGCTTGTATGAAAAGTTTATATATTTACTGCTTTGAAGTGTTGTATTCATATGAGAATATAATCTGCCTTGACTCCTATGTATAAGTATATAAAACATAATATATATATATATATATATTTGTATGTGTATGACTGTATGTATATGTACAACTAAAGAGGTACTACAATGATAAATAAGTTATTATATTGAATCTATGTTTATGTATATATTCATAGGGTTTATTGAAAAAGTTTGCTCAAATATATACATGTGATAATATGAATATTGTTATGTCCCAATGCAATGTTTGCTTATAATCTATGAAATGGTACTGCTCTTGACTATAGAGTTAGAATCTATATCCATTTTTTGTATAGGGGCTGTAACATGATTATTGTTGTTTTGGACCGTAAGTTGGTGAAAAAATATGTTGGACCCTCCTTGATTGGGGTTATCAACTAAAGTTTTGTTCAGTATGAATACATAACTGTACTACAGACTATAATCTAACCAACAATTGTATCAGTACATTTGAAATATTTCATCCCTATGTAATTATCTAAAAATTGCCTTATATATATGTATATATTTAAATGATTCTTATGTATTACTCTAATCTTGAATGCATGCCTTATATATGCAAATATATGATCTGAAAACCTATTTCCGCACATAAAACTTGTTCACCGACTGAGGATTATGTGCTCATTGTTAGTTACATATAGGGGAACTAGTTTTTCAATCTATTCAATATGTTACTACCATTTTAGATTGTAACTGAGAGACAAATACATTGTTTAATTGTTTCATTTCAACTTACTAATTCACTAGGGCTTTGTATTAAGGCTTGGATCACCCCATTATACTGCCATGTTGCGGGTAGAGTGTGTTGTGTAAATGGTCCCAAAAAAGAGGATTCAGTAGTACAGTCCATTCTCAGCAAGAAGAAACATATCTCACTTCAAAGTTGAATTCCAAAAATGATAAGGGTTGCTAAGTCATATCAATCATGCATATTATAGGTCACTAAACAAACTCTATCTGATAGTAGGTTCTAGAATAAGTTAGTAAAAAGAAATTCTATGAGGTTATCATCATCATAATAATAATAACTTTAAAAAGAAAAGAAAAGAAAAAAAATATCAAATCAAATTGAAGAACTAATGCAAACCCAAAGAGAGTATGTCAACAAACAGTGTAATAATTTTCTATTCCAACTAGAAGTTCTAGCAATCACCTCTCCAAGCCTGAGAATGCCTGTTGGACCTGCAAGCAAAGCAACTACTGCAAGATCACAAGTAGTTCTTGTTTGATGCGAAATATATAAATTTAGAATCATATACAAAGAAGATCTGAATATGTAAAGCATATCCACCACTCATAAAGAGTAAGAATGTCCCAAACTGCAAGACATTGAGTGGAAAATAAATAAAAGAGCACAGAACAAAGCCTGTCAGGTCTTCAATTCTCCATTATTCTTTAACACATGCAGTCTTATTAGTCACTCGAAAAAATCTAAAACTTATCCAAGTTAAAGATAATTGGTGCCAGCATACGTACATAACTTATATTTTGAACTATGAAAGAAATATAGCTTGCTGCTTTTGTCTTATCAATTATCATAGCTTTAAATATCTGTGTGTGTGTGTAACACGACATTAACACAAAATTGTACGAACGTAAAAGTAAACAACTTTGAGAATATGCTTGCATACAAATTTGAGCAAAATAACCAGAGGAAGAAGCTGACCTTCAGAAGAAACTTGTTAAGTTCAAGAAACTCTGGAAGTCAAGAAAATTACAATCCTCAATCAAGAAGGGAAAATGAAATCAGCATAACGAGAATAGAACCGCCTAGCATTTAAAATAAAACTCACCTTCAAAACCCATAGTTCCATTCCTATCAAAATCATACATTCTGAATCCATAGCAAACATAATCAAAACCAATGTCAGAACAGATAACATAGTATGCTAATAATTCCAAAACCCTGAAAGCAAGCACCCGATGACTCACACCTTATCATTTGTTGTACAACAGATATAGGGAAGTGAAGATTCCCGACGGCAAAAGCACCCTGGTCATAGCAGAAACAGAGAAGCGAAGGCAAGAGCCAAGTGAGAATAGAGATATCCCGCGAAATTGATCGATCGAAGGCGAAAGTTAAAACTTGAACCTTGAGCTGCGGTGCGGTGATGTTTCCGGTTTTCTGGGAATCGACTCGATCAAACCAGTCCTTGAGAATAGCCCGGTCATCCATTACTGGTTTTAACGGCAGCTCACTCTTGGGAGACGACGATGCGACGGCGAGATTCACGGTCAGGGACGCAGCTTCTAGTCCTCCTAGTCAGTCCAACAGATCAATTTCATGCCTTCAAAGCGGACCTGCTCTCTAACAACTCTCTCCTCTTTTTCTATATTCGAAAAATGAATGGAAATAAATTTCATTCAATTTCCTTCATATTTCTATCATTTATTAGAAAGAAATTCCAAAAACAATAAATTAAATTTTTATTTTTTTATTTTTATATTATATTTAAAAAATTAAAATTTAAATCCCAACCAAAAAAATTCAAATCCAAAACAAATTTTCAAAATTTATGTATTAATATAATACAGTATATAACAGATATTTTGATAATATACTTCTTCTATCCCAAGTTTATTTATGGTTAATATTATATTGAGATATAATAAAAATAAAAATAATAAAATTAAATAAATATAATAATATTTGTATAATATATTGTAAATTAAAATGTATTTCTTATTATTAGAGAAAAGTTTCTTTATTATTAGAGAAAAGTGGCAGGAGGAGTATTATATAACTATATTAACACATACTTCCTCCGCTTCGAAACTAAGTATCCATTTACTTTATACATGTAGTTTTAGAAATATTAGTATTATATTATGATATAGTAAGAATAAAGTAGAAATGACTAAAATAACTTTATTAGCATGTGTGATACAAAGGTAATGGCATTTGTGTAATATATTGTAAGTTGCAAAGATATTTGTAACGTTAGGTAGAAAATACAGTTACTAAAAAAGGAAATTGATACTTAGACAGACTAAAATGGAAAAATGGATATTTTATTATGGGACGGGGGAGTATTTCAACACAATAAACAATAAACAAATTTTATACAACTAATAATATGTTAATTTTAACACAATATATATTTCACATAACATAACGAGAAAATTGCAAAAGATATATCACGCTTATACCCTATTATTAGTTTTGTCATGTATTTATATCGCTGGCAAAATATATCTCACATGTTTACAAAAGTAATTATTTCTGTTACTTGCCCGCGCGTGACATTCACACCATGCGCCTTACGCGCGATCACGCGTGGCCACGCGCGGCCAAATTATAAAAATAGCGACTTTTGCAAACATGTGAGATATATTTTGTCAGCGAGATAAATACAGCACAAAAGTTATAATGGGATACACATATAAGATATTTTTTGCAATTTTCCCTTCACATAACATATATTTCTATATAAAACAGAATATGTTATATGTCTTGTGATGAAATTTTAATTGTTTCAAGTTAATATCTTAACTTGGTTATATGTTATATGTCTTGTGATTGTATTAATGTGCTATCTTATTAAATAAGCACAGTGTTTATTTGATCCAATGAGCACCCTAACTGCCGTCATATAATTTATATTATCTAGTATTGTCGTCTCAAATATGGTGCAACATTTGATTTCCCTACATGAAATTTGATACGAGTAATACTAAGTAGAATAATTTATAAATTAGATAATGTGATATGAGATCAAAATGTATATTTAGTTCTTTTTTTTTTTTTATTTGTGTGGGTGTAATAAGATATAGTATTATGGTATAGATTAAGTATAGTTAATATTCTTTTTTATTTTGGAAATACTGCACAATGTTTGGAACATACCTGTTTGGGAAGCATGGAGTATAAAATACAAAAATAAATCATTTTACACATTCATTAACCAATAAAATGTTACTCTCTCCGTCAAACTAAATATCCATTTGTTTTTTGCACGTAGTTTTAGAAATATTAGTATTATATTGGGATATAGTAGAAATAAAGTAGAAATGACTAAAATAACCTTATTAGTATGTGTGATATAAAGACAATGACATTTGTGTAATATATTGTAAGTTGTAAGGGTATTTGTAATGTTAAGTAGATAGTACAGTTACTTAAAAAGGAAATGGATATTTTGTTATGAGACGGACTAAAATGGAAAAATAGATACTTTGTTATGGGACGGGGGGAGTATTATTTTTTTAATATATTACTTCATTTGTCCCTTAACAAACTATTCATTTATCATTTTGATTCATTTTATTACAAAGTATCAATTTTTTTTTAGTAATTGTATTATCTACTTAATATTACAAATACCCTTACAACTTATAATATATTAAATGAATGTCATTACTTTTATATCACACAATACCAAATAAAGTTGTTTTAGTCATTTTTACTTTAGTCATACTATATATCAATATAATACTAATATACCTTAAACTTCATGTAAAAAGTAAACGAATATATAATTAAGGGACAACGGGAGTATAAAAGTTCAAAAGAATACTTTGAAGTGGAATGGAGTAATTCATACAATCGAGAGGGTATAAAAGTTCAAAAAGTAAACAAATATATACTCCATTCCCACAATACTTTGAAGTATATACTCCGGAAATAGCGGCGAACTCCGGTCAGCAATTACTTCTCTGATCGACAACGTCGACAACCACTCAAAGTCGATACCAGTCAGGTCTTCGACGAATGTCACCCACTCCTCAAAAATCTCCTTTCGCATAGCTGGGTCAGCGGCGACAGAATTGAATTTAAGAAAGAAAAAGAAGAAAACGAAAGAGATAGAAGAAGAGAGAAACGTCTAACGACGGAGCGTCGACTGGACAAAGCAACGTCGATTTTGAAGCGAAAGTTTATGGTTGAAATTTAAGTAATTGCGGATGAATTACTTGGAATGAGGGGAAGAAAAGCCTTCAACGGTAGACAAAAGGCTTCGACAAATGAGCCAGTGCATGTGTTCTTATATTTTAGATAGATGTAACTTTTATAGTAGATATAGGAGTTGTACTAATAATATAAAAATAATATTTTGTATTGAATTCTTGATTTTTTATAAATTGATAAATATATATTGTATTAATGTGTATGTATACTATTTTTTAATAACATTTATGAAAAAATTGTACCACTAAAAAAGGCATAAATCAATAAACGGATTTAGTTCGGCCAACTGATACATGTTTGGGCTCTCATTATAGGATAATCAATCGTATTTTAGACATTTGGAATTGTTGGGTTTGGATTCCTCTATGTGTAGGCGGCCCAACAATTCATGTTAGCCCAAAAGAATTTAGAGCCCAAATTTTGTTAATTGTAGCCCTAACCATCATTGTTGAAAGAGTGGTCATTTTGGATGCAGAAATTGAGAGATGCACAATCGCTATCCACTCACGTGAAAGAATCAACAAGTAAGGGAAATTTTCTTCAACTCAGTTCCGATCAAGAGACTCATCATCCTTGGATGTTCTTCTTAGTACCGTTATTTCTCACTATCTATTTGTTTGAATTCAATTTTGAATAGTATTGGTTGGTGATTGGAATGGATTGCTTATAGTTGGGAGATCTCTTGTGATTGAGGTTCGATTGTTGTAAGTGGGTGTGGAGTTTGATAGCCCTTTTGGTTGTTATTAACTTTGATTGTACGAATATTTTGATATAGTGGATTTTGTCTTGGGTCGGGTGATAGGCCTCGTGGTTTTTATCATTCACTTTGAAGGAGTTTTCCATATTAAAAGTTGTGGTGTCTCGTATTGTTATTTCTGTTGTTTATTGGTTGTTATCATTTGTCGTATTTTGGTAGAAATAATAATTGATTGAAGTGAAAAAATTTAGTGGAACAGTTTGAAACACCTTGCTTAGGCATGACTACGCTTAGGAGTACATCGCATCTAATTTTTTGTTTGCATTTTCTTATTCTTTTGGTGTTCTCCCAATCAGGATGCTATTACAAATGTTCCTGAAGTTATTATTAAGTATGTCATTGATCCAAAAAGCCGATGTGCTGCTATAGGTTTGATTTCAAAAATATTGAATATTGAATATATTTTCATTATTCATTTGATGTTTACATTATTTTAAAAAACTTTTGCGTTGTCAAATGCCTTGTAACTAAAATATCAAAATATTAGTAATATCATGATTATAGAATTGAAGGAATTTCAAGAAGATGATAATTGAAAGAAATTTTTGAAAATTTTCTTTGGCTTTTGTTTTAGTAAGATATTTTTGCGCCGAATATGAAAAATCATATGCCTGATCTAGTTAGATTTCAAAGGTAACTTGATAACTAACCAAAAATTTATTTTCATTATTTTCGTCAGGTACATGTCTACTTTTATTTCCATATTATAAATATTAATTATTTTATTTCCCTTATAAATAATATGCTCGTTTTATCATTATATTAGGTTGTTGATCATATCACACAAAAAATTGATGCAGAAATAAATTTAGAATTTCTTTTAGGCAATATATCTCTTAATCATATAGATTCATTTGCTAGTTTGACATTGATAAACTACTTCATCTTAACTAGATAATTTTGATGATGAAATTATGCTAGCTACAAAATTGAAACATTACATCTCGATAGTTGAATATCTTTTTAAGAGAATGGTTGAAAAAAATATCATACTACTTTGAAGTTAATTGATCGACTTATTGAGTTGGCGTTAGTTTTAAATGTTGCAATGTCTACCGTTAAAAGATTTTTTCTACGATAAAGATTATCGAAAGTAATTTGCGCAGCAAGATGAGAAATGTCTTTCTGACAAATAATTTGCTATGTTATATTAGAAGTATATATATTTGAAAAGATTGATACAAAAACTATTTAACAATATTTTTAAAATATAATAATTCAAATAATATAGTTATCTGAGAACAAATAAATTGCATGCCTTTTTATATGTGTGTGTTAATCTTAAATTTTAGATCTCATATTTGAAATTTTTGAAAAAGAGATAAAATTAAATGGATTAATTAAATGGATTTTAAATGAATCATACCTCATATATATGATCTATATATTATAAAATGAATTAAGCTAAATTAAGCTAATTAGTATTTGTTAATTATATTTTGAGTTAATAAATTTTATCATATATAGAAACGTATTAGATAAAATAAAATAAAACAAAACAAAAAATACGTCAATTATTTTGGAAGAAAAATAATATTATTTTATTATAAATTTGTTAAATTCTACTTATATTAACTAAAGGAGTTGTAAATTTGATTTATTTTTTAAAAAATATTGAAAATGTATTTTTTTATTTTAAAATTTATATTTAATATAATATAAATTTTAGAGAACAACTTTTTATATAAATAATTAAAAATGATTTTTTATAATTAATATTAATTAAAATATAAAATTATTAAAATTCTTAGAAACATATATGAATATATTTGTAAATATAATTGGATTGACAGTGTCAACAAAATATTATATAAATAAAAAATTTTAAATAAAATTCAAATAAAAAAGTCCAATTTTAAATAAAAAATCAAACCAACCCATAATTGAAAAGAAAAAAACAAAAGAATGCTAATTTTTTTTGAAAAATGCTAGTTGTAATTGTTTGACCTTTTGTTTTCTCAATAAAAACTTTTCTACTAGGTGTGTTCGACTTACACAAAATCCTACTATTCATTCAAAAATTTCCCCCCAAAAACATCAAATCAAACACCTATTTTTCATTTTTTATATTATATTAAAAATCAATTGTACATTCAAAACATCACATCAACACCTATTTATATCACATCATATAACTATTCAAATTCAAAATTTTTACTATTCAAATCCCAACTCAAAATCCAAACCCCCAAACAAACACACCCTTAAATTTACTATTTTTATTTCACAAAAACATTGCATCAAAATTACAAACTCCAAAAAAAGCTCTTTTCATCCACCACAATATCCAATGTAGCCCATTCTTCCTTTTGCATATCTTTAAATTGTTGTTCTTTTCTATATTTTAAATTCTTTTATTATACAAACACAAAATCCCTATAAAGAGGCTGTGTTCTTAAACTATTTTCTTTTTTTCATTCCTTGAAAAAATACTATCATTTTTTTTTTCCACAAAACTTCAAATCAAAACTACCATTCAAATATACATTAAATATATCTATATATATGTATATCTCAATCAACTAAACAAACCCCTGCATTTGCTGAAAAATTCTTTACAATAGAATGTTAAAAGACGATAGGTGAATGGATGAAGAACCACTCAAGCAAAAAAATCACACATTGCAATTCTCGGGAACACGAGGAGCAAAATATAACAATATTATTGGAAGAACCACAAAAATCGCACATTTACTAAGAGATACCAGAAGTCAGCTTTCAACGTGCTTCATATTGGACAACTGCAAATATCAAATGAAACAAAGTGAGTACCGTTGCAACATAAAACAAAAAAGTGCATTTAAAAAATACGAGCAATGAATTTTGGCCGAAAGGATCAAACATCACAGATCTAGTTCTGCGAATTAAATTGAAAATAACTTGTCATGCTTACAGTTATATGATTGTGATAGAGCAGAGGAGCATAGAGCTTTGGATTAATCCAATCATTTTTGGCTTAAAAACAACGCCCCTTCATAATTCAAACTAAAATAATTAAGCCTCGCCCTTGCCCTGCCCACGGGTATTTAAATTCAAATTTTAAAACACCCACACATAACAATCAACTTGCACTTCCGATATAAATCATTAATCCCATATTCTATTGCATTAAATACCCTTTTTATGTGATGATTTCTAATATGAAAAGTATCATAGTTAGAACAACTCTCAAACTAATAACCAATGAAATCTGAAGGATTGCGGTCTTCCAAATCCCCAGCTTCCTTCCCCAATGCATCCAATACATTCATATGCAGAGTTATAGACAGCAATTTCATGTCATGCATGTGAATCTCACTTTCCATTGAATCTAATATGTTGATTAGCAAAACTATCAATTGTACAGTAATTTCTACAGGCAAATCCAAAATGTTATGCAATACTTCTCAAGCAACCACAATAATGAGTATTCCTATCCAAAACAACCACCAAGCATAAAGATAAATTGACACAACACTCAAATATCATCAAATACATAACTGGTAGAAGACATAAGAACCAAAACAGAAAAATACATGTGTGATTTATATATATAATTTAAGCTTCTCGAGCAACCAAGATAATGTTTTTTTACACGCATTATCTAAAAAATAAAAAATAAAGTTAAATTAATTTCTCACCTGTAAAAAAATATGCACTATGGTTGAGTTTGGATTTATATATATATATATAACCATTCAATACACATCAACAATACACATACAACTAAGCAAAAGAAGTTTCTTAATCATCATGCAGAGTGCAGGTTCTACAAATTCACAACTTAAATAGTTACTCCTGCTTAAATTTGAATATATCACAGAAGCACCCGTACATCTTATCAAATACATATATGATATGGATATATCAAACAGATTGCAGTATTTTACAACTTATTATCATTAACATCACGCAAACATGCTATCCCAGACATCTAAACTACTTAAATTGCGCTACACATCACCAACATTGTGCAGCAAACAACGTGTATTTTTCAGTACCAAAACAGCACAATCAAAACAAGAAAAGCGCAGTAATACATAGACAACCCAAGAATAAAGACTGAGAGGTGAAAGAGACTTACTTCTGCGGGTGCGCTTTTTGTAGAGAATACGGTAACCACATTCTCGGCATTGAATGACATCGCCTGGCTTCAGCGTATTTTCTTGCCCACAATCTAAAACAAGATATAACTCAATAATGTCGGCAAGCAAAGAATCAAGATTGAATGAAATCAATATAAAATCAACGGGGAAAAAATAACGTCCATAAATTACAACCTACACGAATTCTGAAATAAAATAAAATCAACAACTTCGCAATCAATTCCTGAGAATTGAAATACCTCCACAGATGTAGCTGACTGGCTCCGGCTGAGGATCCATCGATAATCAGAGGCTAGCGAACAGAGAAGGCGAGTTCCTAGGGTTTCGAGGAAGGTGAGGGTTTTGACCTCGATGCCTTGCGAATGAATTGATTTTACTCTCCCTCACCAATTTTCATAAAAACTCTTTTGGTTTTCCATGACCCAAAGTTTAATGGGCTAACACGAAAAAAATTAAAAATCTAAGGCCCAACAGAAATTATAGAAAAATACATCAAAAAGGCCGTGTTCACTCGTCAATTTATTTATTGGGGTATAATTTATAATACTCCCTCTTCCTCTGTCCCATAAAGGTATTCATTTTTTCAATTTAGTCCTTCTATTTTATCTGTACTATTTATCTAACATTACAAATACTCTTACAATTTATAATATATTACACAAATGCCATTACATTTATATCACACGTACTAATAAAGTTATTTTAGTCATTTCTACTTTATTCCTACTATATCTCAATATAATATTAATATTTCTAAAACCATGTGCAAAAAGTAAATAGATACTTACTTTTGGGACGGAGGGGTACTAATATTCTCTCCTCTCCGTGTCTCGTATAATTTTTTCATTTTCGATCCGTTTTATGTAATTTGTTTACTTCTTTTTATTTATACAAATTATATAAATTAATAATCCTATAAAATTCATATAAGTTCATAAATAATTCAATCAAATTTATATAAATTTATTTAATTAGCAGTTTATATTAAAATATTTTGTAAAATAATTATTTGACATTAGTTGTTTATACGTAAAATAACAATTAAGATATTGATACGTTATTTTTTAAAAATATTTAATTTTGTTAATTTTGATTTAAAATTTATAAAAAAATTTGTTACTAATTATTAAAAATGATAAAATATTATAAAATATTTATTTTTATTTTTATTTTTATTTTTTAAATTTGAAAAAGACATTTTTATTGAAAAATAATAATAATATTTCATAAAAATTGTGTAAAATCTAAAATAATAAATATTTCGTATATATTTTTGTTATGTTAATTATTATTTATTATGTAAAAGTTATACAATAAAAATATATAAAAATAAATTAATAATATTTTTATTTTTCTATTTGATTTAATTTTAATAGATTTATATATTTTACAAATAATATAATTTATATGTAATAATTAATAATAGTAATTATTAAATTTACAAAAACAAAATTATAATTTAATAAATTAAATATATTAAAAATAATTAATAAATACTACATAGAATATATTTATACGTATGAAAAAGGAATAAAAAAAATTAAAATGAAAAAGTTCTTCTAAAACGTTGGTATATTAGCTTTTCAGAAATTAGCAGCTATTTAAAAAGCTAATTTATTAAAACCTAAATTAATTTTTTAACTGGTCAAACAACTAGCTATTCAATAAACTAAAAGGTCCTAAAAAAAGCTACTTCTCAAACACCTAAGTCGAAGTATTGAAATTTAAGATAGACTGTCTGTTATATTACATTTTTTATCTCTTTCATCGACGTTATATACACATCAACATTCAAACTATGCTTTTAAACATTTGTTATAGCATCATCACCTCCAATTCAGTATTTTTATGATTTTATAAAATTCAATAATTATTTATTTTATATAATGTTATTGTCTAATAATATTATATAATTTTTATTATTATTTTGAAATATTAAAATGATTCAAATTTGTAAGATTAATGACATCTGAAAACTTGTATAATTAAAATGAACCTAGATTAATACATTGTCCGAACAATTTGTTTATAACACTTTTATTAAAAATCTAGTTAAAGAAATATTAATAAGAAATTTTTTATAAAATAAATAAATGTTGAAATTTGATATAAAAAAAATTTATAATTAAAAAATAGGTAGGTGAATGTGATATTTGAAATAAACTTTGAGTTGTATTTCTATAAATAATTATTGGTAGATTTTAATTTTTAAATTTAAAAATTTTAAAATTTGAATAATAGTTAATCAAATTATTATTTTTCTATGAGTTTTGTTTGAGGTAATGAGTGGTTTAAAAAAGTACTTCTTCTGTCCCAAACATCCTGCAATATTTTTAAATAGAAAATAATTAATTATATTTAATTTCTACCCCACACTTTATCCCTTCGCATCATCCAAATAAAAAAATAAAATATATATTTCTCTCTTTATCACATCACCTAATTTCTAAATTATCCTGTTTAATACTACCAATCTAAAAACATGTGCCAAAAACAAATGTTGCATCTTGTTTAAGACAGAGATAGTAATATTTTCCGTGCTAACTGTATAAATAGAGGTAATATATCTCTTTATAGTAAAAATGAAAAATGTAACAATAGAAGTAACCAAGGAGAAAGAAAGGGTAAGGAAGTTATGCTAAAAAAATAAAAATAAAAAGTTATACTCATTAAAAGAAAATAACAAAATAATAAAAATAATAATAAATCAAAAAAAAAAGAAAAATAGACCCATCAAAACGTATATACACCCTGGAAGTCCAATGCCACAAAGCCCACAAGCCCAGCCCAGCCCAAATTTATTCACATACAATATTATTTATTGATAAAATTCTCGTCATTTGTTTTTTCCGATCGTCTACCTATATAAATTTATGATAAATTTTATTTATATTAGTTTATAATAAAATATTTAATATTAAATTAAATATTAACTATTTTATAACAAAATTTATTTTTAATAAAACAAATCATATTTATTTATTATAATTTATATTTATTTTTTAAAACAAAAAAAATCCTAGAACTGGAACAGTTATATGCGGAGAAACGTTTCTAACCATTTTTTAATTTTTAATTTTTAATTTTTAATTTTTTTTAATTAGGATAAGAATCCTCCAGTATATATGGTCTAATGGTACAGCTACATGTACGAATCCTGAGGCTCCATTTAATTTGACCTTAACAACAATATAATTATTTATTAGTATTATTTAGAGAGTAGTGCCTATGCATACTTACTTGTATAGATATAAAAATTAACAGCTAAGCTAATTAGGTAATTATATATATATATATATGATATTATGAGGTAAGGAATCTTGAATGTATATACTACTATATATTCTGGTCTGAGTGTACTTCATATATATATATATATATTGTAGTAGTAGCAGCGAAAAAATTGCAAAAAATATATCTCACATGTTTACAAAAATCATTTTTTCTATCCTCCTTTGGCTGTACAACAAAGAACATAAATAGTGATTTATGTAAACATATGAGATATATTTTGTATAATACCGAATAAAAATGATAATAGAGTATAAGCATGAGATAATTTTTGCAATTTTGTTGTCATTAGTTATTGGTCAAGCCACACAAACATTGATCCGTTCTCATTATCCGATCGCAATGCAACAATAAGAGGCGGATGTAAATTGGGGCAAGGGGGGCTGGAGAGCCTCCTCCCCCACCCCACATATTTTTTTTATTTCTATTATATATATAATATAAAAAATTGATAAAACTAAACTAAATAAAAACCAAAAATTTATTAGTGTTTATTTAAAATTTTAAAATTTGAATTTTCAATAATAAAAAAATTAAATTATAATACTCCGTAATTGTTTTATGTAATAGAAATAAATATGAAAAAAAAATAAAAAATAATTAATAATAACAATAGTTTTAAAAAAGTTTCCAATAAAATGAATAAGAGATAAATTTTTTTAAAAGCAATTTTCTTTAATAATTTTTTTTATTTATCAATTTCTTACAATACAAAAATTAATATTGTTATATGTAGTTGTTGTCGTAGATTGATATTTTACAAGATTTTTCAAATATGATAATTCTGTTTATAAAATTATTAAATAACAAGTAAGTTATGTTTTTTTCGAAATTTGAAGAAATAGTCTCTCTCTCGTGACCGTCTGGTTCCACCTCAGACAACAATTATACGTCGTAGAAAAAAAAAATGTATATACTTATTATTATAATATGCAACTATAATTAATAAACTACTATATGACATTGTCGCGAAAATACAATCATAATAAATAACGGAATTATTAGTGAGAGGGTTGCATACATCATCATTTAAATTATAGTATAATAGGTTGCTGACTGCGTATATGTCTGGCTTTGACTTTTTGATACATATTTCATATTTGTATGTATGTGTATGTCTGTACGGGGGGTGTGTGTCTGCATATCATCATCATCATATTGTATATTACTACTATTTGATTTCACATTCTATATTATTATCACTATCATAAATAAACAAATGATATAATGTTGATGACGATCGCATATATAATCGATATAATACTTCATCCTGTTGGTTGGTGTGTTTCAGCGTCGACCCACACGCAAACCCAGATCCGATCCGATCCGATCCGATCCGACTCAAACCAGAACCGACCCAGTTTGTCTTTATCTCCTTAAATCAGAACTGATCTCTCCCCCGTTCTGTTCTATCCTTTTGAATCCGTTCTGATATTCATGGTGCTATTCCTATTTCTTCGAGATTGATCGAGTCAGCCATGGGTGTTGATAAGGTAAGATTGTTCCCTACTCTTTTGGGTTCTATCCGTGCGGGTTTAAGCGGAGAAGTGTTGAATTGACCCAGTCCTAACAGTGATATCAGAGCCCAATTAAATGGTGAAGTGGACTGGGTGGCAGTGGGCATTGGTTGCGGTGGTGGGCGAGCCCTCGTGACCTGCGGATGTGCCTTGTGTCGAAAGTCTCCTGACAGTATTGGGTCGGTCCCGATTGAGGTGGTCAAGCAGCGGGTTCCTTTGTGATAGGCGGTACGAGGAGAGCAGGAAGGTCCATTGATTGGTCCTTAGTTTAAGGGGAGGATTGTTGGGGTGCAAATCCAAGTCCCACATCGGAAGTTGTGAAGAAAATTCCACACCTTACAAGTTTCAAGTGAACTCCACTAGAATGAAGTTTTTTAGAGAATATCCAAAAAAATAAATCCGTGCGGATTTAGCCCAAAGCAGACAATGTTAGGTAGATATTATAAATTGAAAGAGTATTTGTAATGCATAATGAAAAAATGAATAGATTGTTAAGTGACAGTGGGAGTATTACACAAATGATATTACATTTATATCATACAATACTAATATGGTTATTTTAATTATATTCGTAG